CTCTTTATAAAATTTATTTTGTAATTTTTCTTTTTTTTTTTAGTTTTTCTCCAGTACCGGGAACTGAACTCACGACCTTGCACATGCCAGGCAGGCGCTTTTGCCGCTGAGCTAAATTCCCAGCCCCTATTTTGTAATTTTTCTATGCTGCTGTTGCCCAGTGCTAATGAGCGCTAATACCATCAGTCCTTTTTGGATCCCCTCAGTACAGAAAGTATAAAGATGAATATAAAATTATAGAATTCACACAAGTAAAATTTCTGAAATAAGTCTGGGTAAAATTTTTATTTGTTTTCCTGTTGCCTTTCAGTCATGGTACCTTGATTTTAGTGTGTGTGTGTGTGTGTGTGTGTGTGTGTGTGTGTGTGTGTGTTTCAGTGGTTTTTCCAGAGAGTTTATGTGCTGTGCCCTTTGTCTGTGAACATTCCTTGAGATTTGAGATGAAGTTGTGTTTCTTCCAGGGGGATTCGCACTTATTATACTTCTAGGAGGGACCCAAGAGAATGTAAGCCCTTGACCTCCTGAGGCATGTATATATAACTGGTTTAGGCTGGTGCTGTAAATCTGCACCATTTAAGTTATGTATCTCTAGCTAATACAGCTTGGTGCTGCAAACCTGTGTAAGAGACAGCTTGCAGCAATGAATACTTCAGAAATATTTTGCTGGCCTTAGTTTCGGTTTTGATATAGTCTCTTTTCATTTCAGACTCACTGATGGGAGATGTGGTACATTTTAGGTCATAGACTGACAGTCTAATCAGTGTCAACTTATAGATCGTCAGTTATAAGAAGCCTTTTCAAAGTTCTCCCCTTTGTGAGGTCTCTGGGCTTTTCTGATGTTTTTCTAGCCCCAAACAAGAACAAAACCTAAAATTGAAGTTCACAGTTTTCCTCCAGATATAAGTCACCACATCCTCAGAATCCAGCATCAATCGGGTTCTCAGTGTAGTGTTCTGCACTTTTTGCCAAGTTATTAGAGCACTTGAGAATAGGCTTTCAATATTTCTTCCGCATGTGAAGTTATTTCCAGGAAGACGGTCAGCAAGCCTGAGCTTCTAGAGTGCTTCATCTTAGGGACTGGAAACAACCTCATTCTTAAACAATGAATTTGTCGTCATGGAAGTATTGAAATAATTGTGGGTCCTGCACTTTCAGTCTATAATTTGTTGAGATTAAATCACTCTAAGTATTGGAGTAAGGCTATTGCTCATTTTGCAAGAGGAATTTCTAGCTCAATGTATCTGCTACTTACATTACCTTGGTATTTAGCAAAAACATACACTTTTTATAACAAGATAGAATGGTAATGTTTGGAAAGGAAGGGCACTTTTGAACAATAAATAAAAAGAGCATCCCAGAAAAAGAGGAAATAGAAAAATAGAAAATCCTGGTATAACCTCTCCAAACTCACTTATATCCACCCAAGAAGAAACAGTCATTCACATGCAAATTACGTTTTCTAAACTAGCATAATGATTTCCCAGGAATCAACTATCATAGATGAATTTTGCAATAGTACAACTGATTCTTGCATTGCATCTAAGTGAGTCATTCCTCTACTAGGAAGGCAAAAATTTGAAGTTAAAACACCATGACTACCAACAGCTCAAACTGGATTTACTTACAAGAATCCAATTATTGAACCTCGAGATCCTGCCCCAATGTCTTTAAGGTAAATAAGGTTTCGTTTTTATCTCTGTATCTGCATCTATGAAAGTTAATCAATTTATTTGAGATAGCACTTCTTAACTTATATGTAACACAGATCTTGAAAAATTATCGAAATATAATCTTCTAATAAGTTGTCTTTTGAATAACACCCTATGAAAATGTGAAATTCCTCAAAAATAATATTGGTAAAATGTCATTTTAATAAAGTTATTTTATTATAAATAAGTATACACACCTTGAAAATAAGTTTCATAGGCAGGATGAAAACTATCTCATGAAAGTAAGAAGTAAGCATTTCCATGAGACAATATTAATATCTGATATTGGTGCTAAGTGTGAAAATATCTATATTAACAGATAATCCCTACAGTAATATTAATACATTATCTATATCTACATTACCTAGAGATCTATATCATCTAGATTATATCTAATATCTATATTAATATGAATAGATTATCTATGTTAATAAATAATATCTATATATATTCTAATTAATAGAAAATATCTATATTGGTGGGAAGTGTGAAATATCTATACTGAGCTCAACTTTGCTTACCAAATCTGTAGCCAGGAAAGCATATGCCCAGCCCTGCTGAATTTTGCCCCACTTTGTCATCATCTTTGTGACTGCGTACTTTTCTTTGGTGCTCACAAAATGCTTGTTCCTTGAGTCAGACCTTTTATTTTAAATTGCGATATGGAAAACAGCCCCAAACTAACAAAGTGAAATGGAACACAACCCTGACAGTGTTAGAACTGAAGGGATTTAAAAACGAGTTGATTCAGGTTTCTCATCTTAAAAATAACCAAATAAAACTCTTGAGGTTTCAAAGTTAATAACAGCTGAAATTACAACTTATGAATCTTTTTTTTTTTTCAGTGCCTAGTTGCCATTCCACCTCATCCTCCTATTCAAAATTACATAATTTAAACCTAGTATGGGTCAGTTTACCTGTGATTATTTTAAAACTTTTTTCTACAGAGACAGCATAATCCCAAAAGAGAAGCATAAATACTCATGTTCTTTGCATTGAGCGTAGACTGTATTCTGTGCACCTGAGGACTTGTAATATACAATTCAAAAATGTGATCTGTATTTGTACTGAAAACATTACTGTGGGCTTTGCAAACTCAGAGGCAATTAGTGTCTTGAGTACAGAGTGAGTCTGATCTGTTTCCCTTACTCTCGATAGTGACTACAACCCTCCCAGACTAAATTTCTGTGTAAATCAAACAAAGCGTATGCTAACTTCACCAGAAGTCATCCCTGGAAAATTATTATTTTCATGGAAATTTTTAAAGTCACAAAACATTGAAAGGATCTTGAGATCTACTGAAATCTCCGGCTTCATTTTAGACAAGACAAGAAGATACCCACAAAGAGGTTAAAGATCTTATCTAAAGAGGTGTAGTTAGCTATTAGTAGAATTGGAATTATAATTCTATTTGTCTAAATAACTGGCTTTTTAAATTAATTCTTATATTTTCAGAGATATAGAAGGCATTAAATCATATTAGTTTTACATCTACAATCAGTCTTTGGAATACGCTTTCATTTATAGTTCAAAAGATGAGATGACGGTCATGGTTTTTAATTTCAAAGTCAAGATTACATCAGTGTTATAATAAAGGCATCAAATGTTTTCTTTCATTTTTTATCCTGTTCTATTACTAATTTCTGCAAGCAAAGAACTGTATAGCGTTTTCTTAAACTCCAGAATACTCTGCTTCTTAATGATCACACTTTAGAATATCCATCATTTGGGGAGGGGGCATTAACACCTTTTAACAATGAAAAGGAAACACATCCAGAAAAGTTCTATACTTTCAAATCGGAGGACGGTTTACAAAACACTTTCAACTCTCCACCACATCTGTCCTGCCTGCTTTGAAACCTTTAACTAAGATGAATCATCTCTCATTTTGTGCAGTTCAGCTTATGCTGACATTTTAATTGCTCTTTCAGAACATAGTGCTGATGTGCTGTTGGATTTTACTCTGTTTAATTTTGAATACACAGAACGACTACACAGAGTAATACATTTAAATCTCCTTGTGAGTGATCATTACAAAACTTAGCAATGTTTGGATGTGTATTGAAAAATATAATGGTAATAAAAATAACAGAAATAATCATTGCTGTTTTTCTAATTTGTGTTCATCCAGCAACATCTCTTAAATGTTATGTAAAGTCAAGAAATTTCTTAAATAAAATGAAATTTGATATTGTGGGCAATTTTTTGTAAGCATATCTAACGATGGAAGTAGCAACAAACTATTTAAATGCAATGAGTAATATGTCAGGTTATATAGCATTTTGATGATATAACAACAATAAGACACTACTTCAAAGATAATGACTTGGTACTACAATATTAATTCTGGAAGCAATTTTGCCTGGGGCAAAAAGAATGGAGATTATATTAGTTTTTCAGAGCTGCTTGACCCACCAAATAAATTTTTCATTTCAAATTCTGTGATTTTCACTTTTAAATTTTAATTCATTTGTATATATTTTATGTGTCTAATGAGCGTCACCATCAGTTCATTTATTATGACTGTTTGTTCCTCTGCTTGATGGCTTTTACCTTCAAATTCCACTACTCTGATCTTCAAAAAGTCTGTTTCTTTTGATAGACTCTTGTATATGCATCACATTTTCCAGTTTGTTCCCATATCCAATAACTTCTATTTTATACTTAAAATTGGAAATGAAAACCTTTAAAAAGTCTGAATTATGCCAGGTGTGGTGGCGCACGCCTGTAATCCCAGCACTCAGAAGGCTGAGGCAGGAGGATCGTTGCGAGTTTGAGGCCAGCCTGGGCTACACAGTGAGCTCAAGGCCAACCTGAATTTCATAGCGAGCCTCTGTCTCAAAAAAGACAAAAAAAAAAATTCTGAATTGCAAAGGCTGTAGAATTCCAGAAGAGCGTTGAGTTTTGATCTAGCAGGCTATTAAATTTTTACTGATTTTTATGTGCTTGTGGAAGGATGGTTTTAACTTTGCTCATATATTTGTTTTACACTTGATCTAAAGTAAATTCCTTAATCCTACCACAAAGACCTCATTCCTTAGCAATAATCTTTCTGGGAATTCTGAGTTCCAAAGGCATTTAACAGTGCACTCTAACTCGGTGGGACTTGAACTCTAAATCTACCCCGTGGTGGTGAGCAAGAAACTAAATCTTTGCTCAGTTCTTGAAGTTTCCCACTGCCGTGCTCCACCCTTGTCTTTATGAATGCTTGATTCCAGCCAAATTGCTTAAGATTTTAATGTACAATTTTGCAGCCCCTCTTCCCTGGTTTTCTCTTAAGACTCCACTTACCTCTGGACTTTCCAGGGCTTGTGCGTGTCCTGAATTCTATCCTCTGTCCACGTCAGACGGACGAGACTGAACTTTCCGGTAGAGTGAAAGCTGCACCTCGAGTACCGGAGAGCACGGCGTAAGTATCTGTATAAATGTGGGGAAAACATAAAAATATGATTGTTTCCTGATATGATTTCCTTCTTTCACTGATTGAATCCTTCCCGTTTCTCTCTGCTTTCCGTCTCTCTCCAGTGCCTTCAAATCATTGTTTTTCTCCTTTTTATTGTTTGAAACTTTAAACTGGTATCTATATGATGATTGATTCCCCTGTATTGACACCATTATCTCTTCCGGACGTAGTATATATGAGAAATAATAAATCTTGATTGTATTTAATCCAGGCTACTTGAGTCTGTAACTTTGGGATCACACCCAATCTGAATGACTCAGAGTGAAAATGCTCTTTGCAGGGAATGGGGCATCAGTTCAAAGATGCACTGGAGATGTAAAGCAGAATGGACTCTGTGAGAACACCTAAGTCTCAAAGGTAGCAGCTATTTTAACTGCAAAAATCATCCAGTTTGAAAAAAGAGACAAATTGGCCCTTTAGCACTGAAATGTCCCCATGAAACTACACATTAGTTTTGAAGTAGAAAAACTAAGTATAGCACCTCTCCTTTATATATATATATATATATATATATATATATATATATATATATATATATTCAGTGGACACAAATTCCAAGTTGAGAATATTCCTCCAATACAGAATATGTTGTCCAAGGTAATACAATATATTCCAGCAATCCATACCATCATGTGATTTTCACAAAACATGCTCACTGCTACTACATGTGACTCATGAACACAGGATGAGTTTTTGGTTACATTTCCATTTTTCCTTTGAACTGGATTGCTGTGTGGTTTCACTTGCCTGAACGTGTTAGCAGGAGGACAACATGGGTGACTGCTCTCAGCTCTGTGTGCATACACAGACATGCGTTCACTGCATTTGCAGCTCAGGCTAGAAACGGAGCCTGAACACAGAAAATGGCCAAAAATTACTGGCTATTGCTGCGTCATTGGCTCGAGGCTTGGGTACCCACATGAAGCTGTTCCCCTTAAATACCTTCTGCTTCTTTCCAAACACTGGTGTAGTGGTTCGATAACTGGTGGTCAACTTATAACCCCCAGCTGAACTGAGTGAGTGGTGCTGGGTGTGGGAGGACCACCTGAGGACTGTTGCCAGCAGCATAAGAGGCAGACCTGGAGAAGAAGAAGGAGGCTGTTGGGAGCTGAGAGAAACTGTGGGGAGCTGAGAGAGACTGTGGGGAGCTGGCTTTCCTGTTGAACTTGGCTGTTTTCATCCTCCGAGGAGCTCGGGACCTCGCTGGCACTGAGAATGGCTTCAGTTCACTTTGGAGAGCTCTGGTCCTCACTCTGAGCATTGCTTCCTGGTTCCGGACGGGAAGATGGTGCACTGCTGGCCTCCTGGAAAAGCTTGCTGTGTTGGCTTCCCTGATGGGAACTCGACCATCCTGATCATCAGAGGAGCTCGGAACCTCAGTGTTGCCAAGGATGGCTGTGGTACCTTTTGGGGAAGCTCTGGTTCTTCCGACCATCACTTCCTGGCTCCAGTGCAGATCCCTCAGCCTGCTAGCACAGGTCCTTCATCCTGCCAGCACAGATTTTGTAGATTCCACCACTGACCTTTGGGCCTTCCCAGCAGATCTGTGAAACAGGCCTGCATGAGATGCTGTCATGGGTTCTGGGCCTCCAGTTGGATTCGTGGGAGGTATTGTTATGAGCTCTGGGTATTTAGCTCAACTCACGTAGGACATCGTTGTGGGATCCAGGCCCGCAGGTGGATTCCTTGGTCTTAGTGTGTGGACAGATTCCCTGCACTCTTTTGTATACTGTGCTTTGGGTGACTATTATAAACAATCATATAAAGTATGTGTCCTGTATTATACTGTTCCCCTTGCAAAATAAGCCCCAAGCCAACATAACTGGGAAACAAGGCCACATAAGACAACTGCAGGGAACCAGATGCTGCAGTCATGGTGGAAATCTGCAGGTGGTGAGAGAGAGTGGCATACAAAGTTGTCTATACCTATGGGGTGGCTTTTCTAATCAGCTACTGAATAAGGAATTTGAGTTGATTATATGCAGTCAAACTTGCTTTTCTAAAAAGGTTCAGTTCCTACCACAAATTTAGCAAAGCTCTCTTTATCAGATTAGAATCTCTCTGTGAAAGAATAACCTTATTTTTTGCTGTTGTCATCTGTTCCCAAGAAGTTGAGAGATGAGGACATGCACTGCCTATTAGACAATATTTTCCTTAGCTTAATTCCCCTTCTACCACATACTCTATAGTCATTGAATCTTTTCGCCTCTATTTCTCCTTTGCGTTAAGGAGAATCACTCAGGGGGTGCTATGTGTTTACATCTTGCCATCCACTCCTAACAGAGTTGGCATCACCTTGGCACCAGAACATTCTACCTCTCTCTCCACCCGAAACCATTCCTCGTGCATAAACAAGACACACGTGCACAGATGCACACAGGAAAGTTAATACCGGGAGCTTCTTGACCCTTGAGTCTGTCATATTATATATTTTATATGACATATCTCAAAGAGCATTACAATATGTACATATTCTCATTGGCCATCTAACTCTTCCCCCTGGCCTCACCTCTGCAGCCTGGCAGGTTATAATCCCCCCATGCTCTGTGCTTTACGTTCCTCATCTCTGAAGTACCAGCTGAGCCCACAGCAGCGAAGCAGGGCGCTCCTTCAATCTGTCTTTAAGAGTTAATTGCAGCCCTGCTCCTTGAAGTACTGCCACAGTCCCTGCTTCACTCCAGAGTCTTTGACACCAACCTACTGTTCTTGGAAAGACTACAACCTGTGTGTTTGGGTCCTCTAGTCAGAGTGCAGAAGAACACAAAATCTGAAGGCAAGATTGCATCCTGTGCTGCTTGTGAACTCCACCCCTCTCAACCGCCACATGAGGTGCCCTGTAAATCGAGGCGCTTGTAGCCTCTGAAATAGATCTTTTCCTGTAGTTTCAAAGCAAGTTTTCAGTCCGGGAGGATAAATGTCTTGTGCATCTAGTGCGGTTTGCTGACAAGTTATGATCTTTAAACACAGATGCTACTGGCCCACCAAGAATAAACTGCAATCTTTGAAATATTTATTTCCCCAAGAAAGTATCTGCTTAAATTGCTTCCTCCACATTACTATCTGGAGCTCCTCTTTGAGAAACTAGAGGTTATCTGCAAGGGAGGTGGCTGCAGTTTGAAGCGCATTTTCTTTTCTCCTGTGCACACCAGACCTGCTAGCTCAGTGTAATTAAAACAATACCAAAAGTAAGTTTCTTTAAGGAAACATCAAAACGCACTCACATATTTGAGATGTCTATGCAGTTAATTTCATTTTTAAGTTGTTTGGAAATTTGAAGAAAAAAAGCTTTTGTCTGGAACAATTCCCATTTTTTTAAAACCTCTTCTTTCACTGTTTGACTAGAAATCAGTAGCTAATCATCACAAGGCCTTTGTTTAAGCATTACAGCCTCAAGTGCCCTTCAAGCAGAGAAAGACGAGTTGGAACATTTGGATTGCACTTGAGGCCGCATGGTTACTTTTGGCAACTGACGTTAAACTGTGACTTTAGCAGATTATTTCTCAAATTGGAGTACTTGGAATACTCATAGTAGAATAATAGCTCTAAAATCTATATTTCGAATGCATAACCAGGTGATTTCCATGAAACACTAAGTTGTAAGGTTGTTTCACTGCAAAATATGGAACATCTTATATCTAAAAAAATTAAAAACTGGAAGTAAAATGTAGATGGAATTTTCATATGTGGATAAAATCCTACTCCATTGCATTTGAAGGCATCAAAATGGATTTATTCCTATTTTTTTGCTTGTTATATTTATATTTAGAATTAAAAACCAGTCAAAATACATTTTTGTATCCTTATTTTCAAAACCAGTCATTCTCTCTCTCCCCAGCCCCTCAGGACCACACAGCAAGCTTGTGGCAGAACTAAGGACTAAGACTGAGACAGGTAATATCAATATTTTCAGGGATTTCATAGTTCTTTTCATCTTCAAAGCACATTACAAAATTCTCTAATTAGGCTCCCAATTCTGGCTCTCAGACTTGCTCTCTAATCATAAGACAGCATACCTGCTCTCTATCCCTCAGCTCCGAGCAACACCCCATCCTTAATCATGACTAAAGAGAAAAACAGTGTTTGTAACAATTTCAACTTAATTAATGACAAATGTAGATATTTCTTTAAATACGAGTCCAATTGCCTGAGTCCTAATCTGTATTAGCGAAGTTTGGCCATTATTTATTCAGAGCAAAGATAAGTTTTAATTGTGAAATTATCTGTAATTAAATGCACTAGTTAAAAATGCTGCATTTCTCTCCAACCTAAAATATTATTCCAAAATGTTTCATTGAGACATATTTTTATTCTGCATGTCCTTGGAGCTTAAAAAGATCTCTTTTAAACTATTGGGACTTTTGTTGGACATTCAGGTATTTGTGAGTTAGGTTAGTCTTTAGATAAAAACTAGCCAAGAAAATTAGGAAAACTATATTTTAGTCAAATTTCTGTCTTTAACTAGTTATAACTCTGAGAAAGTCATTTGGTTTTGGATCTTGGTTTCCTCTTTTGAAAATTTAAGATATTTCTTTGAGCCAACTCTATGACCATAGCACTGGTTGTATCCGTCTCAGCAGGCTGGTCCTGCAGGAATGGCGGGTTGTCCAAGTCTTGCCTAGCACCTTCTCTCCCACCACACCCTTTTCTGAAGGCAGACGCTAAAGTCGGAGAAGGTGCAAGCTTTGGTTTCAGGGAGGGGATGTTACAGAAAGTTTCCAATTTTCATCAAATTGGGAGAAAGAACAAAGATGCAAATGATGAGGATGTAGAAAAATAAGTTGCACTTATATCCTCACTCAGGATAAGGGAAACACTGTCCACATACCAGCAGAAAGTAGAGATGACCCAACTGAGGACCTCTGACTATAAACAGGATTACCTACATTTTTGATATCTTGGGGAAAATGGCTTTAAAGGCTAGACTGTATGTCTAGACAGAG